TTTCAAGTTGATCTCTGATTTCCACACAAAGTTAAATGCAGAAAACATACATATAAGCTGATGAAAGAAGATCAGGAAGGTTTCATGTGGCTATGAGTACAGTTAAACCACTTCAAGAACTCCTGAGCAATAACTGGTATGTAGCTGCAGGGATGCCTCAGTGACAACAGGTGATACAAGTGAATGTGAACCAGTGAGGAGGGCACGCTTACATTGGTTCTATCCCCTCCCAACCCCCTCACCTTTCTGACGTCTCCAATACAATGGGGAGATCAGAATGTAGCCTATTTTGCTGTACTCTCAACGCTCAGCTTAATCTCACTGACCCCAACCAATTTCCAGATGTGAATGGATGGAAAGGTGAGAGGGAGTTAGATGAGGGAAGTCTTTCTTAATTCAAAAAGCAGACTGCACCATCTTTGGTCTTTTTTCTCCCTCCATGACTGTGCAGGCTTGAAGCCTGCAAATTTGAAGCTGATGATGAAATTTTATGCAAAGTGAACATTTTCACATAAAGCCACATACAGTACATTGCAATCCAAAGTTAATCCAGGATTGGGAAATTCTCTTCACACTTTTCCCCTCCCAGGGATTTAATTTTAATTAATTTTCATTTCACAAAGTGTGAAAAACTTTTCCCAGAATGGGAAAAGATTGTGACTCCTTTTAACACAAGTGGAAAAAGATTTTAACATTTTCTTACGCAAGATTCTCATATTTTCCAGCTTTTTTGCCGGAGTGGGAAAGAATTTTCCCAGAATGGGAAAAGATTATGACTCCTTTTAACACAAGTGGAAAAACATTTTAACATCTTATGCAAAATTCTCATATTTTCAAGCTTTTTTGCCGGAGTGGGAAAGAATTTCCTGCTTTTTCACACATGTGGGGAAATACTTTTTTCACATCTTTTTAGTGGCAAAACATTATCATGCCAATGTAAACTGGAGTTCTGTTCCTGAAATCTCCCATTCACATTAATAGTGTTATATACTGTACTAACACAGTGCTAAATACCGGTCCAATTTTTCTCTCACCACAGGTTTAAAATTACAGCCAAAGTTGGCAAAGTAAAGTTTAAAGTTGGTAAATATATGCATTCGCAATGTGGTAGCGACTATCTACCCGTAGCTGGAACCCTGGGCAGTGGAAACTCTAAGATTTTTTTTTTCTCTCTGTGATGCTAAAAGGCCAAGTGAAGTGATCTATGACGTGCAAAAACTTACATGTAGCAATCTGTACAGTAAATTTGATTTGACAAGGACCATCACGCACCTGGTCAAATGTGACCTTGCCTAGAGACAGAAGTTGGCCCAAATCCAAGTCCCAGATCCAATCCAAAAATGACACAAGTATCATAGAAGTAAAACGCACATGTACATGTATAGAGGCAAATTTAGACTTTCTGTACGCCAAATGAAGAGAGTAAACAATGCCCCCCCCCAAAAAAAAAACCCAGTATATCATGTGAACTTCCTTATTCCTGTGCTTTTATTAATTCTACATGTGTACGGTGTAAATGCTTTGTGGGCAGCTAAAACTTTAAAGAAAGAAAAATCGTATGCAAATTCTGATTTACTGCATGAAGACCAATCACTTCTGAATTTCTGTGTATGTACGTGCACACCAGTTTATTATCCCATGACAGGTCAGGGGTTCAAGAATTTTTCCATATTAAAAATAGACTCCTGTGTTACATGGAAGTGTCGTGTTCACAGTTGCTAAAAGGCCAAGTCTGATCAACCCTGTGTGAAACACCCACACACTTACAAGTACCTGCCTAGTAACAACAGCCTCTTGTGACAGCGAAATAAAATGGATTGAAGAATACAGAAAGCAAACTCAAGAAGTTGAACTGGGTACAGACAACACATGGATATCATCAGGCTTTTACAAATTATTTAATCCATTCTGATGCTGTTACTCTTTGGACGGTGCCCGTTTCTGATTGGAAAATTTTTCTGCACTTAGCAAATTTTCAAGCAGCTCTTTGCAATTTGGCCAAAGTCTGTCTGACTTGATCTTACTCCAACCCATGGCAATGCTTCTTAATTAACAGAAAAGATCAACCACAATAGATCTGTAACCTACACATGCAATGCCATTACCCCTTGTTTAAATGTCCGCTTTACTATAGCAGTGTGAAGTGGGACACATCCATCAAGCCCCTACAGGGAAGTGTACATGTAAACAAAGCCTGGAGTCATTATGTTTCAGGTCTTCTTTCTACATCCATCTGAAATGAAACACCCAGAACTGCAGTATTTTGACAAATTACACAGGTACCTGTAGGTGTAGCTTCTCAGCCCTACCAAAATGGCTATGTAAGAGATGGGGGTTGTGCCTTTGATCTCCAAGTTACATGTAGCTCACGGAGGGAAGGGGGCACGCCGGCCACTACATGATGATGGATTTTGTATGGTACACAGAAATTCAAGAACATGCAGGAAGTTTCCGAGCAGGAAAACGGCCTTGAATTTAATGGTAATATCAAGGCAAGTCTGGCAGTCATCACTTTCATGTATGCAATCAAGTACAGTAAGTTGATTCATACATGTCACTCCCAACAACTATGTACAATGATTACCCACACTGTGCAGTGAATTCCCTCCTTTACATACTGTATACAACAATGCGTTCTGTTATGTCGTTCATATGTTGCTTTTCTGTTCAGTTTGTTGCACGTACTTGTGTGCGACTCCATCCAAAATAGATACTGCCTACATGTACATGCACCATGGATGATGCAATTTTACACACTGCACTGAACAGTTAACATTCGTGGGTACTTGGCGAAAAAGAGTTGAAAGGGCACCATTTTTTTTCTTGTCTGAGCTACACTTACTGTAGAGGTACATGTACATGAGCTTGTGTGTGTATGCATTAAAACATTTGTTTGATGCCTACATTTCATAAAACATGCACGTACCGTACATGTATGTAACCATTCCTGATCTTCTCTGTTTTAAGATCAACTTTTGCATGCTTTTATAGACCTGACATTTTGAACGCCCTACACAACCAACGGAAATCCCTCCTCTTTATCCGGTGTATATATGGTTTACATGTACAATGCAGCTGGGTAGATTATTATGGGTGTTCCGACACAAATTATGAACTCCAGTAACATGTCTGTCCAAAGGCTCATCGGGTTTGGGAGATCTTGCAGCTGGTCTGGTTAGACAGCGTAAGATGTGAACAGCAGCAGATGATGGCAGTGATGGAAGTTGGCTTACTCAGTTTCAAAACAAACACAAGTGAAGTTACATAAGCCTCTTAGCATGTTCGTGGGACTACACTATCAACATTCTCCAGCCTAACCCCTCCTCCCACTCCTACGACACATATTCTGGCTTTATGTCCAAACGTTACAGTTACTTTTGCCATTGTCTGTCAAAATACACAAACATGTACTGGTACATGAAAACGGAACACAGAGGAAACCCGTACAGACATGACAGAGACTGCATCAGACATCATCTATTGAAAAGACCTCCCAAAAAAGAAGGAAGTTTTTATCAACACTGTTTAATATATTAGATACAGCCTGCAGAAGATATTGATAAAAAAATCAGTTATCAGCCAATACACAAATTTTATTGATATCCACCTTCCAAGTGTAGTACATGTAAACATCATACCCATTAACAATGCAGTGTGGTGCACTGCCACCAAGGAACTTCAGTACTGCATGTATTGTACGCAGTGTACATTTCTCAAATTATGTACTGCTATATGTATACATGTACATCTATGTATTCACACACAAGTTCTACCGAAACAACAGCAGTCGTTTTCACTGAAAACATGAACTACATGTACATGTATAAACGTTAAATATTATCAAAGGTATCACACTCACTTTTTTCCCAATCCCACAATATAGGGGTAAACAGGTACTGTACACCGATACATATGAACTTTGGCATTTAATGAGAAGAACTTGGCTCAGGCAAATGACCCAGGAGATATTTTGAAATGATCTGGGGAGACAGGTCATCAGAGCTTTGCACTTCTGTCACCCGGAGTCAAACCTCACCCAATCCATAGTGGATTGGGTGAGGTTTTACTCCGGGACTCCTTCAGTCCCTACCTTATTCCATTTGCTTACCCCCAATATAATTCCAGGTTCTCTTCCCACCTTTAAAACTGGCAATTTCCTCTCTTCTGTTCCCCTGGCCTCCAAGTTACACTGTACATATACTGAGCCAGTTTGCACAGTACCTTGAGGAACCCTTGGTTCCATTACCACGAAGAATTAATTAATGAATCAAATATCTAAATAAGTCTTCAGAATAAACTTTTTGCCTGTTTGCTTTAAATGAATTCCATTTTTTAAATATTGTCCACACGTAAACGAATAAAAATGTCTAACTAGCTGCAGGTACCTTTTTGTACAATGTGAGTATGCTTTAAAAGTTTAATGCAGGATGGACAAAAAACAGTGAACTCTTTGGTAAAACAAATAATAAAATAGGCCAACAAACATTATTTGGGTTATAATGCATGCCCCTTCAACTTAATGGTACAGTTACTTTCGGTTATGAATAAAGATTATACTGTCCAAAGGTTGCAAAAACTCTCCTTATTTCAGCAAATGGGGTGGGCAATATTATAAAGACAAATAGTAATGCCTGTTAGTGTTACTGGCCATGGTCAAATCATTATGTAAAACAACTAAAACTTTTTGCTCTAGTCATGTGAGCAATTTCTTCAGAAATTTTGGATGGGGCCTGAGGCAAACTATGTTTAAAAGGACAAATCCTAGCTGTTCGACAAAAATTCTGGCAAAATATTTAGGACCAAAAAACTCATACATGTAGATCTATGCATTGATGATTTCCCACCGCATCGACGTCAGCCATGTAATCACACGTGTACATGTACAATCATGGAGCATGGTTATGTGTACGTGCGGGGCCAGCGTCCCATCATGCCCGCGGCCCATCACCGTGCAAAGCGCACTGCAACCGGACCGGCCCTGCCCACTCTTGTTACCGTACCTTTGCACGTTCTGCTCCCCGTTTGGGATCCTTCGAAGCTTCTTTTTCTTCAAGATTTTCACGGCCAGCCGACGAAGGGTTTCTGAATCCAGAACCTCCTTAACTTTCCCATAGGAGCCCTCTCCGAGTACGTCGCCAAAGAGATATTTGCCGACCATTTTCGCCTTTTTCTTCCGCGGCTGATAGATGATTTCAGCGGAGTCCACCCTGTGCGGTAGAAACGGGTGCGTGTCTTCGTCCAACAAGAAGTCCATTTGGTCGACATCCTGCGACCAGTGCCGGTGAATACGCTCTGTGCCATCGCAATCGAGATAATTATCTAATACCGCTTGATCTACCATCATAAGTCCAGGTGGTTTTCGGCAGCGTCGTGGAGAAAAAGAGCTGCATTTGCCCACCTTGATGTCAACAACTAGCACGTTTACGGAGTACACGGCCGTCCCGTCGCCATGTTGTTTATCAAATGAAAACGAGGTTTACGTGCAGCGCGTCATGTGACACTCAGATTTTTCATTCTGGAAAAAATAAATAGGTCATTGATTCCATATTCAAAAGATGAATATTCACATGCGCAATAGGAGCAGGTCGAGTGGGCGCAAGAGCGCGTGCCAGGCAGCTGGCTGGATGCAAATCATTTCCTTGTATGGCCGGCTTTGTGTGCGCGCGTGCCTCGGCGGCATTGTAATGTGAGCATATCCAGCTGCTTTGTGTTCCAGAGAAATTTCAGTCAGGGATCCCCCGTTTGTGAACAATGTGAAGAAAATCATGATTTTCACAAGTTTATTCAGGTGAGTCATTAATTTGAATTATGGCGATTTTTGAAATGTTGAACATGTAGAAGATGTTTCGAAAATGAGGTGTCCGGCAGACAGTGCTAGCCCTACCCATGGAGGAAGGAACAGGCCTACCAGCATAATTATTTTTTAAAAGACGAGGGCTTTAATGTCATATTAAACGTTCGGAAAATGATCACAATTTTTTGTCTTTGCAACAAAGTTGCTTTATTTGTAACCTTGGGGTATTTGAACATTTTGTATTGGAAATTAATTCTGTTGTCTGTTATCATTTGTGCGTATTTAATTCAGTGTGGCAATTTTTCCTTATGAATACAGAATAGATCACTAGCAGTGACTAGGGACTTTTAGGGTGATAAATGGAGATTTAAGCTTGCGCATTGTTGGTAGGCCTAAATACGTACTCTGTTGCTTATTTTTGTTCAGATTTTTGCCGTAACTTAACATAACTTAATGGCTGATAATGTATTACTGAAATGAAATTAAATATACTCTTCATTTTCTTCAATTACTTTGTATTAATCGGCAGATGACCTTTACATTTGATACTGTAACTGCCCGGTAGTGATACACTTTTTCTCAAAACTTGCTACAAAACAAAAGACTACATCCAGCTGTAAATTGTTGTTTCCTGGATCTGCAGTCTGTGATAACAGCTCGTCGCCCTAATCTTGTGGTTGCATGAGAATGCCAGAGAGTTGTTTCCTTGTTGCCATTTCTGAGTATTAGTGTGTTTACAGATTTACCCATTTGATCTTTATGCAAGATTTGAACTTTGGGAGAAACAGACTTCTTTTGTGGTTTAGGCCTACATTCAGGTTAAGTTTAAAAATTTAGTAACCTTAAATGCTGGGGGTTTTTTCAGGTCTCTCAGGAGATCTCAGCACTTGCCAAATCCAAATCCCTAAGAAATGGCCTTTCTGGTTCTGTGTAATAGATTTAAAGATGCGAGTTAGCTAAGAAATAAAGGACAGGCCAAGTAAAACATTTGCATACATGGATCAAATTCTTCAAGCATGTAAAAATTTCAAAACTTCTGCATTCCTGGGTTAGTTGTAACCGTATACTCATGAGAAACTACTCGGTACTGTGTCCTCAAAAATATGATTTACTTTTGCTTTCACATGAGGTATATGAACAAGACTGGTTTGTGGCTTCTTTTTTTATGGTAAATTAGGCCTAAACAATAACAGTATTTGTTTATGTAGCATATTTCTGTTGTTGGTATGATGTACATGTCTCCCGCCCAGTCAACGTCTTTCGAAGAAATTTTTCGTATTTCCCTCCAATCTATCATTAAAAATGATTGTACACATGAATTGAATGGTGGGTTTTGTAGGAAGAGTTTTTCTTTTGAAACTAATCAAAAAGACAGTGAACTAACTACAATGTACATTTTCATTTCAGAAGGCCAAACCTTAGCATGTACATGTAGTTTTAAAAGTTTCATTTCATCAAGATGAATGTTCTGTTGTGTAAGATAAAATATTTCAGAATGTCAATGTTACACTCAAAATCTACAACTTTGATAGAAAAATAAGGCTCAGTGGCTACTTTTTAAACATGATGGGGAACAAGTAGAGCTTGATTGGGAGACGCTGGAAGAAGCATTGTTATTGAATTTACATTACTTACATCTTCTGTCCATGTTTGTGCTTGCTCTGTGCATTTTGGCCATCACATTATTTTCTGTGTGGGCAGTATGTTGTCAGTGTTTCATAAAGTGTTGGGAATTTTTCTGAAAATTGACCAAAATATGGGTTCTCTGTCAAGACGAGTGGAAGGTGATGGGTATCTGTTCTAATAAGTTATCTGAATAACAGGAAGACAAATTTTCCATAGATTGTTCATTTCTCACATAAAATAATGCATTATCTATTTTTTCTTTCACCAAGGGTGGGATCTGATTCCTGAACGAAGCCCACATATGGCATAAATGCCTTCAATATCGCCTCTATCAAGAAGGAGGTATTCCAAAAGTTAACTGTGGTTTCTAGAAGCTGTCTTGGTAGAATACCAGTGACTGGCTATCTCCATCCACACAGCAATGGGCAGCTCTTTGTCGGGGCACAAGAGACCCGCCCAGCGCAGAAGCAAGCGAGAGTTTCCATCCAGGCACTGGGTGCCCTACCCTCTGGGGCCCCCGAGGGGGAGAGGCGACCAGTCGGGCCGGGTGGTTAAGGCGGTAGACCTGACCAGCGTCCTCCAGCCCTGCGGCAACTTCTCCCATGTGCCAGTGGTCAGCTGGTGGGTGGACTGCGAGTTCCTGCCTTATGACGACTCCCGGCTGCTGACCTGCATTGCCCTGCACGACCTTGGGGGTCAGGGGTTGCCGCCCAACCTGCCTCCCTGCACCACCAATGGGGTTATTAATGTTTGGAACCTGGGCAAGCAGAACAGTGGTGAGAATCAAGTGAAAAAAATTTCTGGGCTGAGATTTCTATCTGCAAATTTGAATAATTTTTATAAAAGCTATATATATGTACAAATAAGCCAGATTTAGGGTTCACAAATCCTTAATGCTTTAAAAATACTCCTCTTGAGGACTTTGGCAGAAGATAAGACCAAGGAGACATTGGAAAGATACTTAAACAGTTCGTAAAATTTAAGTTCATATATTCATCAGATCGTAGAAAAATTATTGGTTGTAGTTGATTGCTAGTTTTTGTATTTTGCTCTCTTTAATTGTATTTTTTTAATGAATTTGTGATCATTTTTAATTTTCTTTTCATAACCTCTTTATCATTTTTAAATTACACTTTTCAGTTATAAATTTGCAATTTAATTAAAGTTAATTAATGCTAATTCAATTTTATCAATCGTTTGTGATTTTCTTCCCTTTATTTTTTCTTCACAATTTGAATTTTTGTTTCGGTTTTTTAATTCTAATTTTTTATTCTGTTGTTTTCTCTGAAATTACTGTTTTGTTGTTCGTTTACCAAGAAATGAAACAAACATGAAATTTTTCACAAAAAATGAATTAGAGAGGCAAATCCATGCCTCCTTTCTTCTCTCCCAAGTTCCCCCTCCCCTCCCAACACCCAACATATGACCTGCATGTTCTCCTCATGCCAGTTTCTTCCTTGGCAGGGTGCACGACGGAAATCCACCGGAAGAGCAGCCTGCCGCACCCCCACTGTCAGATGGCGCCGGATGGCAGCTTCGTCTGTTACCTGGAATCTGGCGGCGTCATCATGCGCAGCATCAACAACGTGCAGCAGGTCTACAAGCGAGAGGCATTTTTCAGGTATTCCATTTTCTTTTCTCTGTCCATATGATGTAGCAGTGTCCACTTCCTCGACTTAATCTCATTGGGGATGGGCAAAAACATCTAATATATATAGTTAAAGATCCTGATGCAAAATTACACCTTATACAATGCTTACCACGGTACCCGAGGCTCATCTGACCTGAAATTAACCAACCAACTCCGGCAAGATTGGTGACCGAGCGCCAAGACATCTGCAACAGTGAGCAGGAGGTCTTAGGTTCAAGTTCCACCCAAGTTAGTATGTTTGTGAATCAATCTGTGGGGATCTAGCTGTTGGTTGCCACTCCTGCCAAATGGCCAATATTCACAAACTTGGCCTATAACCCTGATCAGCTGGAGAGAAAAACTGTATGTCTGGAAAAATGTGCATTTAGATAAAACTTTAATTGGCTGCTATTTGGTATTTGTCAGACACAACAATCAGCCTGCAGAAGTGAAAATTTGAAACAAAACAGGGGAGGGTACTATGGTGCCACTACCTTAGCCAACACCCATTTGCATGATTGTGTCTATGCATGTACATGTATGTGTTCATTCAGTTGAAAGATATGTTGGCACATCACATGCCTTTCATGCTTAAAGCTCGATTTCTGGGTATGTGGACAATTGCATCGACAAGATTTATCTAATTATGCCCGTCGTGACGTGTATAGCACAGCCCCCATTGCAGTTCTAGAGGAGACCCTTCAGACCCAGTATTCTTCTTGTACTTTCTTTTAGAAGAGTCGTACTGGAACGTGGGATATTTTAAGTCAGGCCAATCCTGAAAAATGCTAGGAAAGATGGCTGCTGTATGGTGGTGGGTCGATCTGTTAAGGAGGATACAGCACATAGATTGCCAGAGATTTCTTTTCCTGTTTTTTTAAGGAACTAAAATGTTGTCCCTTGCAGGTATGGGATCTACCACTACTGCACTGTGTCTCCTGATGATAAGTACCTTGCTACCATCACAAGACAGAGGCATTGTTTCCAGCTCTACGTCTTCTCCATCCAACACTTTTACTCTTATAAGGAGGCCAATTGCCAAGACATCTTTCCAGAGTTCCAATGGGACAGACACAGCCGAGCTAACAATGAGCAGGTGGAGTGTCGCTTCTCGCCAGACAGCCAGATGATAGCGGTCAGCAGCTCCTCGGGTCAGCTCTTTGTGGCCAGGCGGTCTGGGCTGACCCTGTACCGTGCTGCCCTGCCCGGGGTGTGTGGGCAGCAGGCTAGCCTAGCCAAACCCCGCACCTTTGACTTTGATCCGCGCTTCGGCCATGAGGTCCTGGCTGCCTGCTGGTCGGACCAAATGCTCGTGGTGTGCAACCTCGAACGAGGGACTCTCGCCTGGAAGTCGCACCTGCCAATCTCACTCGGAAGTCCTGACTGTTTGAAATACAACCCAGAGGGCACTACCCTGGCTGTGGCTGGGTCCCAGGCTAAGATTGGGCTGTTCCACTCCAGTAATGGGGAGGCCCTGGTCCTCCTGGACGGGGCCGATCAGTGCGTCCACTTTTCCATGAAACAGCAGCCGGCGTCGGGCTGCTATCCCACAGTTCTGCGGTTATCCTTCACCTACAATGCCTCCCACTTGGCAGCTGCCTCTACGGACGGCTTTGTGCGCATCTGGTGCCTCCCACGTATCTCCTCACTGCAGAGCCTGTGCCGGCTAAAGATCCTAAAGCACGTTCCACTCGATACAGTTGGTAAGCTACCTCTTCCCAAGAAGCTGACGGACTACGTTCTCTGCAATCCCATGTGGTCTTGACCATGGGGCTATTAAACAATCCAACAACGTGAGAGCAGATGCCACAAAAACCAGCCAAGAAAAGATTCTTGCCATTCATCGAAATTAATTTCATATCACAGTCAACGAATGCATGCAACTTGGTAGCATGGAATGGGGTTTGAAAATCTGGACCAAGTGCGCGTGTTTATAAATTCTCAGCTCCACATTTTCCTGATTTACAAAGTTCATCTATTCTCAAGTCTGAAGAAAAGTCAGACTTCTTCTTGATATTCAATCAACAGTCAATCTTTTTTAGCAGCTGTTTCGGATATCCAGGTTATGACAGGCAGAGAAATGGTTATGATGTGCAATTCCGTAATTAAATACGGGAGTATTTGTTCCCTTTAATGATTGAAGAATTCTTTATGTGTAATATGCAAACATACAGGTATTTGTACAGAAAACCAAATAATGACAGTTTCAGCAGCTTGTATAGTGTACTACTCATATTGTGTTAAGGGGGGTGTTTTGAAACCTTAGAATTTTTGTTCATGTTGCCTCCAAGTTTTTTTTAAAAATTTATAATTTCTTTTAAAGCTTTTAGGCCCAAACAATGCGTGCTAAATACAGCTTAAATATGCAACAGTGGTGGAAGTGAGATACAAACACACAAGGCACAGGTTGTACATTTTCAGAGACAATTTGAAGTACATACTAGTAGTACATGATTGTCAAAAAATAACCTGGGAAAATTTTTGAAAATTGAAACACAGAAGCAAAATTTTGTTACAAAATGTGATGCACTCAACAGTTAACATAGGAAAGGGCCTTCTCCCCTTACATCTAATAACGTGCAATTACGTGTAGATAGTGTACTGTACATTAGACAGGGTAAAAACAATAATGTGCTCCTTGCTGTTTTCTTGAGTGAACTAAATACAGTGTGCAATATTTGAGGAATGAGGATTATGGACCGTTTTCTTGCCCTGAAATGACTGTTTCCGAGTCCATATTCAAAGCATTTAAAATGTGGAAGCATAATATCAATGAGAAAAGAAAAAAAAAGGATTTATCGACATGAAACCAAAACTAAAACAGATTTAAATCCAGCCATCACACGTCAGAATGCAAGTCAACTCAGAACTCACGGTCAGAGAGAGAGGAAGCAATACCTTTTTCACAATTCATTAGATTATGCTTGTGATTCTAGACTGGAGAACATGTGACTGGTGAGCCTGGCAACTGACTTGCAATGCCTTGATTAGACCTCTTTTCGGGAGCAAGACTTGTTCAGTTCAAAGGAAGTTTTTGTATAGAATTTCCATCCCAGGCAAACAAACATGTCCATGTGCTATAAAATGTGCAACACTGGTAATGGATATTCTAAACATGTGTCTAGAAGCATAAATGCACAAATGAGCACACATGCTCAAATCATTATTTTGTGATGTCAATGATTATAATGAATACCTTGTGCAACGACTCATGCCTGTTAAGTGCATGAATTGAACACTTTAACATAAACATGTAGGTCATGAAGCAAGTTTTAATCAAAATGAAGTAGGATATGGGGCACACATCCTCCCCTCCCATGATACTAACATATTTTTTCCAAGAAACCTAGATAAACTGAAGCACACCCCATATGTCACATTCCTGAAATATTTTCCTTTTTTGTCTGACACTGGAAATCTTTCTTATTTTTCATTAGAATGCCGTGTTATCCACAAGGCACTGCCCCAAAAGATAACCTCCAGAAGATTGGATTTCCCAGTACATGTATCTAGTCATTTTCAATGAGGCTATAATTAACAATTGTCAGATGCCGTGATTAGAGATGTGGATAAAGGTTTAACTTGGATGATTGGAACATGATGTGGTTTGCACAAGACAACTAATTGTCTAATGGAACTAATGGATCATTTTTATGGGAAGCTGATCTGTCAGGCTGTTTGGACGATGATTGTAATCCAAACAGCATGACAGATCAGCTTCCTATGAAAACGATTAATAACTGATCAATCCCATAGCAACAGCAGAGCAAAATATTCGCAGTTCTTTTGTGTAATCCCCAAGAAGCAGCATCCGATAATTACACATTTTACAGCTGAAAAACTGTCCCCACTATTATTTTCTAAAAAAAGTAAGAGATGCTAACTATACCCCCTTTGAGACTGATGCTCTTCAGTTTACTTGTACAGTATTGTGAAATGTGGAAAGTGCATTTAGCATGCCACAAGGTCAAACCAGGATGTAGGGTTATATGTTCACCTGCTTCGCACTTACAAACCACTCAAAGGGAAATTATTAACTGCATCCAAAAAGGCAGCAAATACAGCACATGTATGTCGTGCGACCAAACAGTACTTCCTCATGTTCAGTTTCAGAAAGGCATCTCGGTCCAGTTAAGCAACATGTGCGACCATACATCATGCTCAGTGATAAACTATGAAAGTAATGGACAGTGTAGTAATAAATGGAGTATGTGAAAACTGTTCCTTGTGTAAGCCAGCCTGGTTTGAACCCGAAGATGTGATAAATTTATGCAGTGGAATAGATGAAGGGACAGACCAGGCTAGTGTTTATCGTAATGCAAATATGGAACGTGTTACTCATACATTTTTAAGTTCTTTATCAAGGTAGGAACCTTTTTTAAAGTTACGTTTTTACTTGCAAGACTTGTTGCATGCCTAAATGTTAGTCTTCGACCAAAATGTGAACCTGAAATAAAGTGAAATACTGGAGAAAAACAAAACTCTTTTTATGTGTCATGTAAAATATATGTCCTTCAGTTCATTGGAAAGTAAACTGTTGAAAAAAAATGAAATTTGCCACAGGGAGAAAAATCTATTCTCCAAATTTGGGAATGCTACATCTTTACTGGGTAAGAATTCAAAAGTTTCTGAATAGATTAGCAAAAAATGCAAGGTCATCACAAAATGAAACCAAACCACTTGGTCGATGTACACTTGTATGATTACACCCACATTTTTATTTCTTTATTTCCTTCAGTACAACATATTTTACCAACTGTTTTCTTTGCATCATAAACAAAAAATATTCTGATAAGCATAAAAGTGCACAATAAGGGTGAATTAAAAAGCAACGGATATGACTCCAGATTGGTTTTTTTTTCTGTTAAGGTTATTTCACAGTTTGACCAAGTACATTCACCTCATCAGAAATACATTACAAAATAGAGTAGGGACAATCACAGATGGTTCGGGTGGGGGGGGGGCGATGTGACCCTCCCCAACACTTCCTTTTTTTTACAAATAAAGGGAAAGTGGTGACTTGGAGAATGTTTCAATTTCATTTCTTCAAAAAGCGTGTAAAAGCCTTCCAAATGAGGTTTTATTCCTCAGAAATGCCACAAAAAAGTTTCATAGAGAGATTTCCAGATTTTGGTCCTCTGACAATTTGGTTCTGAATCTCCCCCTGGGGACAGGTGCCAGCCTTTTGGTAAGAATGCACATTCACACCTTTTTTAACAAATCAAGATTTGGGTTTGAGACACAGACAGGTTGGCAAGGCTTGTATGAATTTTCAGAGCTCCAGGCCTAACTTCAAGTTGACAAAAAAAGTTCTATGCAAATTGACTCAACAAAAAAAAACAGAGTATAACTGACCAAAAGCAACAAACACAGCTTGATCTTTCATCCTGCTTCCTTGGAAAACTTTCTGGAACAAGTAACATGGTGTGCTTACAAGCCCTATGAGATATATTCAGGAATATTCTTAGGCCGAGTCTAGATTACTTGGCTATGGCTGAAAGTGATATGTGGCCTATGGAAGCTGCCAGCTAACGGCAAAATTTATTTTCCACAGGCACATGTATTATTCTCATCCTTAGCCAAATAAATTAGTACATGGCTAGACTCTGGCAGGAGAGCAGTGTATCTATAGGGCCCCAAGTAGTCTTGCTTCAAGATGTTATTGATATGATATGTGGTTCACCACCCAAGACATTTTCATCAGCCCCTTCAATGCAAATGTTTGACATAGTAAAGTCACAGTGGCCCCTGGTAGTGATGCCAATTTTGTTGGGTTATCAAATGAACGTACAGCTGTGAATTGAAATAAGACAACACAGCTCTTTCGGGAACAGCCATGAGGTACATGTAAAAGGTTGGCCCGATGGACCCAATTGACAGTTTCAGAAAAATAACATTTTGGCACTGCTCCAGAACACTTCTGGAAACAGGTGATTTCACTCTCTGTATCTGCTTCCTATTTCACTCCTATTCACTAATCATTTGGTGTACATACATGTACCTCACAGATTGGCCCACTAATTAAACCAAAATCTTGTATTTTGAATGCTTACATCAGGACTCTGGTTTTGCCATCTTGTCGACAGCACGTACAGAATTACTTGGGAAACCCACACATTTTGATTACTGTCTTGTAGATTTATTTACAATACACGGCTGGACAATGCAAAGCAAACAGATTAGGACACGAATGTTCTTCAAAGTTATGCTTCATTTTGATGGAGTCTTTGGGACAAGCAGCAAAACCAATCTGAGAACAATTCTGATACCACTTGCAAAGCAGTTAGGTGGGAACAGTACATCCTTTCAGGATTTCATTATGGGACGATTGTCCCTGCGTATTTCTGGAAATGCTAGCAGGCCCAATATTGCTTAACATCACTGCTTTGGCTAGTAAATCATCTTTGGCTAGTGAATGTATATTCACACATGATTGGCAAGGTAGTATTAACAACATTTTTTCATCAAGAACATGCAATGGCACTGTACAAGAATGTGCACAGTGAAAGCAGGGGTGTGTGTAAACACTGTCTGGGCCACCTGGTTCTGGAATTGACATCACAGCTGTGTACTTCAACTCTCTAAGTATTTTTCTTCCTGAAACCTCCAAAATCCTCCTCTGTATGGGAAACCAACCACTAAAAATCTTTGTGCTTGCTTTTCAAGAAACATCCAATTCCATGTAATAGTGGCAAGGCTCCAGGAGGATTTTGAAGGATAGCATATGGCCACTGTAAATGAATTGCAGTCCCTTTGCTGACTCTACTGCATGCATCTCAGCAGTGTAACCGCTGATCCGAAGTTGATATATATCAGAAAGGATCGAATTTGAAGCATTCCATACATTTACAACCCAATGTGGTAACCTTATTTCATTCAAAAGATTGGTACCGTACAAGATATCTATACTGATCAGTTTCTTGATGGACAAAAATGCCCACTCTGCAAAAAAATGTAGCTACATCACTGAGTGGGTTGGTATAAATTGATGGCACACACAGTATCCGCTATGAGTGGGAACAATAGAGGGGGTGTTTTTACATTATTAGAAACAAAAGTCCTTAGGTGAAGGAGTCACCACTTGCTTGCACAGGTTTATGCAAATTTGGCACAGCATGTGGTGAGTATTAAGGCACATCCATTTACTGTATGAATGTACATGTGGGGGTCTTCCCATGTGCACCAAGTAATTGCACAATTTGTGATGAAAAACTTCCTACCAACCAGTGTCTTCTGCACCGGCGACGGTTCACTTCAACTTGGCATGGATAACAAAATATATGGATCACAGTTTACTGACCACTTTTCTACAATCGCTCACTTATTCAAATTGCTGGAAATCATGCAAGTGGGCCATGGAAGGCATCAACTGTCAATTTCCCAACAAGTAATCTCAGGTGCCTACATATCAGTATGTCAGATACCAATGTCTAACCTCAATGAATTATCCCACCAAAGGTATTACCAATTATAATATTTGCTATCTCACACAGTATGTGGTAAAAAGAATCATGTCATGGAACTCTGAGCATAATCAACATTGCCTTTTTGGGGGGTCAGCTCATGAATCTGACACCTCATAGGTCTGACGCCTCGTAAGTGTGAAAAATACGTTTAAAAAAAGTCCATAAGTCTGACGCCTCATAAGACCGACGATTCTTTATGGGTTTATTTCGGCCTATAGATCTGATGCCTCATTAGTCAGAAAATTCAGACTTTTGGAGGGATTGGACTTAAATGTACGATACACACTCTTTTTTTTAATCATGTGTCTTAAGCAACCTACCATCCAAATTTGACCAAGTAGACATATGAATGCTGAAGTATCATGTCGTGTAGAAGAACATAACCACACCTCATTATGCAAGAATGTCCTCATTCCCTGGCAATCAACTAGGAGACTCCATCAATTTCTACTACAACTTTTCAATTTTTAAAGGATCTGGTGGTAAATGCGAGAATTTCAAGATAAAAATACCAAATTTTGCCACACAGTGCAACGTCCTTGGCATACCTGTCAGATGGAAAAAAACACATACATATGTAGCCTGGTACATGTACATGTACGACCACAAAACCAGTCGCCTTTCCAAGGTACATGCACATGTGAATGTATTTTTGAAGAAACCCCATCAAAGGTAGCCATGCACAGCTAGCGATATGGAGAGCCAATAAACAATGATGTATTCAAAAGGTTCAAAGCTTTTTTGTCTGAGATATATCTGACATGCAAATAGTAACAGGGAAACACTGTGAACATTTTAGCATCTTTGACCCAGAAAATATAGGAGTTGGTGTTTTAGTAATTTGAACATCCACTTCAGAATCTAAACCTCACTGACAGCTTAACCAACAAAAAACAACACACAAACAAAAATTAAAATATTTTTTGCAACTTTGCTGCAAAAGGTATTCACTATTTCAGTCATTTAACTTGTTCAGGCCAGAAGCTCTGCACACTTTGACTTCAATATACACATTATTCATCAAGTCATGCTGCTTGACAAGTGGAATTTTATTTCATACCTGATCTGAATTGCTGGCATTATAAATGATGTAGATTTTGAGAGTTGCATGACTAGACGCCAATGTGCTCTTTGCTACATGCTATTTTTGCCCCCATTTTGACAATCGGTCGTGTAATTTTTTGGCAAAGCCTTACACAATGCAGCATTGTAGTCAAGACTGTCAAAGGAACAGATACGAGACCAGTCACAAGTTAGAGGGAGGAACAATGATGGGGGAATTACTTTTGTTGGAAGTTCATTTGAATGGCCTGTGACTTGAACTCGGACTGGAGGTCTGCATTGGTCTTGTGGGGTCTTGACAACAACACCTATAAATCGGCCGTCACGTCAGGTATGGATACATTCAGTGTCGGAGCAGTTGGTTCTCGCAAAACAGAGATCAAAGGCAAAAAAGGATATGGTGTGGTAAAACTGCAAGGTACATAAAAATGTGCTAAGGACAAAAACAATTCTGATTTACCAAAAAATTTGTCCTGCCTCCTGTTACCAAATATCCGCCAATGAAACTTTAGGGTCACACAGTCAAAACCGGATAGGTCAGGAAACAGGAAGCACGACTATTTTGTTTTTAATTTTTCGCTGTAGCACTTGGCAAGAACGGTTACACACCACAAGTTACGTTGTGCGTACTGCCACTGTTTCTTCTCTTTTGTGCTCAGTGTAGAAACGTGCTTAGCGGAATTTTCCTGTTACGTGTCTCAGTGAAAGGCACCCTAGTCAGAGATGGCAACCGTGTGATTACCAGCACACAACCTACAACTCAAAGAACTGGACTGGAAAACACAACATGTTCTGCCAAAAGCCAGACAGTTCTTACCGGATCTTGAAATGAGAATCCATTTGAAATTGGAGCATGATTTTTTTTTCAGTTTATGCTATTAAAAACATCCAGATATCTTTTGAACAATTCGGACTGTATTCTGCCTGTAAAGGTTGATGATTCTGAGGATTTTGTCGAGGATCCTGATCAAGGCAAGCAAGCTCTTGAGCGGGAGATTTTCAGTGAAGGCGCAATGCCTAAAACTACATGTGCATACATGAAGAAGAACGATACCCCAAACTTCAGCAATCGATTTCTTATTCTGTGTCATCACAAATTTCAAATGGGCATAATTCCACTGGAGAAGGTGTTTTTTCTTTATCAACAATTTGAGGACAAGATCCATATTTCTAACGAGCTACAGAAACCCTACTTTTGATAAGCAGCCATGAAGAACTCGTCTTTGGCAGAACCCATCATGTATCCATGCTGTCCAACAACTTCCATGTGATGCAAACAAATTCACCTCCAACTGACTTGTTGGCAAGCACCATCAGGGGTTAGCTTCATCCACCAGGGTGACACTCCCGCTGTGGCCCGTCTCCACGTCCGACAAGAGCGGCTGGCTGCCTTCCGTGCTGCGGGGGGAGAGCTGGGAAGAGTGGGCAGGGCCCGCAGCACCGGCCCCAACCGAATCAGAAGACTGGATGAAGTAGGCGAAGAGGAGGGCCACAATGACAAGAAAGGCGCCGAAGACAAAGGGCGGGCCAGGTATGACGGAATGCTGCAAGAGACAAATGCTGTCAGCTTATGTTGGTGACAATTTGAAAGGTGTCAGGGCCACGCAATGACTTCAGGGCGATGTTGTAGTCAAGTATTTTTCCGAGTACCAAGTTTAGTGTCAAATATTGAAGTGGTTTGGAGTGAATGAAACTTGAGAACAGGGACAGTGGATGGTGAACGTACACAAGTAAGTTTACCCCCAATAAATCAACAGTTTGTAATCTTACAGTTTTATAAAATTTAAGTTTTCAGGGCTGAAGTACTTGAAGACCAAGTACTTTTCAAATACTTTTGTCTGTGATAATTTGAAGTAATCCATTTATTTCATAAATCATGGATTAAAGTGCACTTAAACTAGGATAAACCATGCGGTACGTACGTGTCCTTTGTGTGTTTCAAACCAGCAAACATTTATGAGCCCATAAGCTGTTTCAAGCAAGGTTAGCCACTGCAGATTCCACTCTTGGCATTGGAAATTCCATGGCTTTTCCATGACCAATTTATGAAAATCAATGACCCAATAACGCAATTTCTTGGACTATTCGTACTTTTAAAGTTGAGAACATCACACATTTTATGCACGTATTTCTGATAATACAAATAACACAGTGTTTGAAAAGTTCTATGACTTTTCCAGGCCTGGAAAATGAGAACAAATTTCCAAGACTTTTTCATGACTTTTCCAGGCCGCGGGAACCCTACGTACAAATATCAAAATACTTGTAGCTAGCAACAATTAGGAATTTGCACCCAGTTGTACAACCTCATTTCATCCTTGCAATTCAAGGACGTTGTAAGAAACACTGTACTCCATCCAGTTGGGTCTACTCGACGGCAAAATTCAAGCAACAACACTGCGGATGGACTTATCATTTGGCAACACCACACACCACACAAACGACACACTGGAGGTTCAAAGTCTACTGGCTACTTACAGGTGAGGTTTGGGGAGTCGGGTTCTCATTGTTCTTCACGTCCAGGTTCACACCAAAGAAGTAGAAGATCACCCCAAAGAGGCAGGGACCCAGACCATTGCACAGGCCCCGGATGCCGGTGACCATGCCCTGCACGACACCTGGGGAATTCAATAATTTACTGAGCTAATAAAGCTGCAAATAATCAGGCTGGCAACAATGGCAATAGTCTTGGCTATGGCTAACAATGAACACATGCAGTTTATGGATGCAGCCAGCTAGTGGCTCTTTCCACCTCTGTAACAAGTATGTGTTAAGAGTTAGCCATAATCACTACTGGACACATCCTGCTCCTCTCTGCTTCTTTTTCAACTCAACCAAACCTTCTTCAATAGGCCAATGTACTGATGTCACACTTTATTCACTAAGAAGCGAGTAGGGGCCCACGGACAACCATAGGAAAGCACACACATAAACCAAGTGTGGCATCATCAGAAACAAGGTCTATTCAAAGTGGAGTAGAGAGGAGGGTGACTTTCAGATTTTCAATCCCTAATCAGTTCTGTGGGTGTCCTATTTTCCATTTGTCTCTGATCATGACATTTCCCCTTATTTTCTCTTGATTCTTGGCTGGTAGTCTAAGAGGGGATGATTCTTGAAGGGTTACAGAAATAGAAAACATTTAGTTCACATGAAGTACCGGTATTTCAAAATAACAATAAATATGCAACCATTTCAAAACATCCTAAATTTCATGTCTACCCCATTTTGATTGCAAAATGAATAAAAAACACTTCGTGTGAACTAAACATTTTCTATTTCTGTAACCCTGTCTAGGCTACTAATGACAACACTTATAAATCTCTTCAATCCAACAAAATTCTGCATTTAACCATAAACCCTCCAGTTGTGGTGTGGATCGCATAGACTCTTGATTGGGTCTGACTGGGCTGACTTTCTTTCCATTTTAAAGTTCATTGTGATCTTTTGAAATAAATTTACTTGCCAGAATCGTCCCAAGTTGTTTTTGCAGATCTTCAAATGTTCCAAGTTTCTTCTCAAAACCAAAAAACAGAGAAAAGATAATCTCTGTACAAACAAATATATGAAAAAAAAACAAAAGCTAAGCTGCAGTGGATTTTCTGTGACGTTTCCCGAGAGCAGCCATTGCATCAATAAGCATGTGTTCAATACCAATACCGACACGCTAATATCCACAACCGGGATAACAGCACTCATGTCATCAACAGTCCCTAACCTTGCTTATCAGCGGACGAGCTCCTGCTGACCAACGCGCTGATGGCAGGGTAGTTGATGCTGCAGACCGATGCGATGATGCCGGCCACCCACATCATCCACTGGTGGGAGGCGAACCCGTACCACATGAGCTCCAACATCTCGCAGACCAGTGCCAACATGATAGTGTGCTTGTGGCCCATGGTACGTATTAGAAACCCTAATAATATTGTCTGGAGGCAAACGAGACAAGATGACCGGTCCATGAGGCTACAATGCATTGACTGACTCGGTCAAACGTTGGCTGAGGTTTCTGACATGCGCAAGAAGGAACCGACACGTATGACTAGATCACACTTGGTACATCACCTAATGCACATGGGTCATTCCATGAGGTTGGGGCACAATTTGTGACGGTGTCCTTGTTACATGGGTAACTTTTACCACCTGTTATGACATGGAGAGTAGGTCATTTACTCTGTAAAAGTAACACACACCTTTGTATTCAGCCTTGCAAGATGTATAACAATGTCAATTTGGAATTCACATGAAGGGAAATTACTGTTCATTTTTAAGGAAACCATGTAACAATAGACATCGTCACAAATTGTGCCCCAACCTCATGGAATGACCCATATACAAATTTGTGATGTCGTGCACAATAGACCCCTTGCAGTGGGTACACAATAACGGTTCCGGCAATACAGCAAAGAACCACTGAAATAAACATGAAGTGCAATTCCTCTATTGAAACACTCAAACTATGAACCAATTCAACCTGAGGTGCATTTTGCTGCAAATGTGCCACAATGCCAAAATCATCTTACATTCGTATGGAGTACAGTTAAGGCGAACTCAGTTCAAATCACTGATTATTCAATCAAGCATTTAAATAAAATATACATGCTTTTGACAAAGAACTGAAAAAAGGAAAACTTGAAGGAGAAGCACTTTCTTGGCTAATACTGCTCAGCATATGCATCCAGCTGCCTTTAAGTTTACTCCCAACAGCTAATGTTTTGGAAATGCAATTTTGTAACTGAATAACAAAATTGTTTACTCTTTTATTTTTTAGTGATTTTCTCCATTCCCCATTTTCCAGCTTGAAGAACAGAAAAATAATGAATCTCGCATTAAATCCAGGATGAAGTCCCAAGTATTCGCATGGGTTTTCAATGCTATCTCACAAGTATAGCTAATACCACTTAACTGATACATTTTAGCAGATTACTTTTTTATCTTCATCTGGGGTTTACGAAGAATATAAATAATCTAATGGGACTTAATGTCATTGCCAGAAGTATAGAAACACCATATGAAGTACATGTACATGTACTTGTCCCTATTTACCCGTTAGAGATGTTAACCACCAAACTATTTTGTTAAAAGTAAGCTACGTATGATACCCTCCTCGGTTTTTAAAAACCAAGACTGCCTAAAACTGCACTTTTCTCTCACAAACTACATGTACCAACCGTGCTGGCACGAGATCAGGTCACATTGGGAGGAATGCACGGGTCTCACCTGGTCTAATACTGACAGCACTCCTACCACCGCTATGTAGGCTGGCACCTGCTGCTCTGAAAAGTGACCCACCTGGATTGAAATAAGGAATAACACTTTCTGAACCACTGGCCCTCAGAAAAAAAAAACAAGAATGGGTTTTGCAAAACTTTGCCGCAACGTACCAGTATCAACCCCCATTCCCTCACAAAAAAAAAACCAAGAATGGGTTTTCGCAAAACTTTGCTGCAATGTATTAACAGCCATTCCCTCACAAAACGATGCAACAATGCTGCTGTGAAAGTTGGTGTTGAAGTGCATGTCGCCATCACTGTAAAAATGGCGGGGGGGCATTTCAATCAATAGTTCACAGCCTCACAGGTGTTGGGCCCAGCGCATCAAGCATTTCCATGGGAAAGTTGAAAGGTTTTATCTGACCTGTCACTGAAAAATGGGTGGTTTGTGAGAACGGTATGTCTGATTTTCACAACATTGGTACCGAAGTGATCATGAGGCATTACTAGAAAACTTCTGAAGGCTCTGTACGAAAAGAAGAAATGGATTGCAAAGATATTTGAGCTCCCCCCTCCCCGCCTCTTTTATGGTTAACATATGCCTTTTCATTATGAACTTACTATTCTAAGGTAGAGGAATATACAGGAGTACTGGCCTGCCTCTGGTAGATAGGATAGGAATACTGCTATACACAACATCAACACGGTAAAATCTTGACCTACTTTTCGTAATGACTGTGGGAAAAACAAATACAGACAAATGACAGGTGTGGTTGTATTTTCTCTACGAGAAGTGGTAAAACAAGAATTCAGCAGCCAATTTCACCAAACTTTACACTTATTCTACTGCATAAGTTGCACAACAAATTATGGCATATTTTACAACAGATATGTACTGCGTAAGTCTGTGAATTTTGTAGATTATTGTGGAATAGTTCAACAGTCCTTTTAGGTGGTGTGTAAGTCACACCAAGCAAACCAAACAAGGAAGATTTTACCAACTAATCATGTTCATTGTTCACTGGGGCAGCCAAGTAACTTTTCATGTAAATGACCTTAAGTACATGTATATTGTGCAGCTACATGTACATGCATGTGTAGTTGTGCCAAGTTTTGTGAAATTGGCTCCAGGCCATAAGTCAACTGAGATCCACTGACCAATCAACATCCAAGACCTTGTTTCTAACCAAATGACTGCAGCTGGGTGGAGCATCGAGTTGAACAAAATTTGCTTGTACGGGTACGGCAGACATTCATTCAGGCTTGGTTGTGTTGTACGGATGATACTTAAAAAACTTTAGAACAGAATTTGTTACAACACCCCCAAATACAGTTGGCATTTGCTATATTTTGCTGTTTTGTGCACAGCCGAAAAACTGCGTCTGCGGCAAACAAAGCACCATAACTGTAGCAAACGTAGAACTAAATGTACATGTCTACTTTGTACAAATGTACATATGTCTAGCAGTTGACTTTATTTGTGGGGACCCAATTTCAGTCAGATTCCCCAACGTAGTATATTCATTTGAAAACGTTAAACTTGAAGAACCAGACTCTATTCTAGAATTTCATTTTGACTCCCCCAAATCACCTGGTACCATCCCACTAGAGGTTTCAAATGATTACAATACATTCAGGAATACGACTGAAATTGGGTACCGTACCTCGCGAATGCAGTCAATTGGTATTGTTCCGTATTTTGCACATTCTGCGCCGCAGAGCTGGGTTCATACATTTCGTGGAGAGGTAGTCTGGAAAAGTGTTGGTAACTTTTGCACAGATTTCACATTCAAATAGGCTTACCCTTCAGATATATTTAGATCAAATCACTATCAACTGAGATATAAATCAAGCAGAATCTTTGGAAGAGATGTTATCAAGCAAATATTGACTGCTTTACCAGTATCTGGTGAAGAAGTAAAAGTTGGCCTCCCTTAGTGATCTATGGAATGAACTTATTTCACTGGCTTTGCCTCAGGAAAATAGAATGTTTTCCTTGGATCACTTCAGGAGGTTAGATTTACTAAACCACTCGAAGCAGTCAATATTTTTACATTAGACAATGTTTTAGCCAGCATTCAAAAGCTGGGAGCAAAACTTTGCTGCGACTTGAATGGCATGGTGTCCATGTTGCTGACTTTATGTGTTTGTAAAGATTCACTCCAGGAGGTGCCATTGCTGTGAGTGTATTTGTCAAGCCGTAAAGCCTTATTGGTCAAAGAGGCTTTTAAAGCGCATGTACTAGCTGTGTGCAAAATTGGTGCCATTACAGCAATGGTTTCTATTCCATTTCCCTTATTAGTTTATACAAGAAGTATACATGCACTGCATGACCCCTGAAGATCATCATAATCCCTACATGACCATCAAAAGACCACCACAAGACTTCCTGTCTGGATACAAGTCACAACTTATTTAAACAAACGGCAACAAAAGCACTCTTTTGCAATTGTCTACCCTATAACTTGTGCCTGGTCTTATGTCCGGTCATGTGATGTCTCAACTAAGACACTATCCAAGTTAATCCAAAGATACCCAGACCCCCTCTGGCTGATACCCAGACCCCCTCTGGCTGATACCCAGACCCCCTCTGGCTGATACCCAGACCCCCTCTGGCTGATACCCAGACCCCCTCTGGCCAACACCTTACTGTGAAAGCTGCCGCAGAACACCCTGAGTGTTCCCTGGTGCCCCGCTGTCACTTACACTGAATGGGTCGGCCTGCTCCCAGGAGATGGCGGCTCCCCAGGAGGCCGGCCGCACCTTCTCCGGCAGCGACTCGGGCACGGCTACCAGGATGAACAGCACGTCACACAGCGCCACCGCTGTCGCCAGGAACACCACAAAGTTGTCGCCATACACACTGCCCAGATAGGTGCCCAGCGCCGGGCTGGTAATGAGGCTGGCTGCAAATGTGGCCGACACCTGTTGGGTTCAGAAATCAAACCAGTCTCAGCAAAAAAAAACACAAAACGGCTCCAAAGTTTAAAATTTCACCTAACCAAAATCAATGCTGAAAATATCTGCCTCCTTTGATGTAACTTTGTATCCCTAGATTACATGCCACGAACTCTAAAAAATCCACCCTTTATGATAAGGCGCAGTGAGAGAAAATCATAACTGACCTTTGTTTTTGCAACAAGTGAATTTCAAACACTTTTTTAATCAAATTTACTGAGGTGAGCTATAATGTTATGCTCGTGTTTGTAACTGCAATTTACGAAACAAGTAACTGCTGATGTTTCCATACAGATTATTCTACGCAGTAAACACATTTTTCAACATGTACAAATGTATGTATTTCATAAAATAATACTTATGCATGGCCATTACCCTTTTTCCAAAATTCTCATTAAAAACTGAAATTCTATGGGAAAAAATCCTTCAAATAGGAATATTCATTTGGAAAATTTTAAACAGCCTGAATTCCGATTTAAATTGAAAAGGTTTCATTTCGTGGGATTATCGCACAATGAGATTTGAAAGTTTGCACAGTGGAGGATGTGACGTGATGTGATGAAGCTAGTAGCTTACACTGGGTAGAGAAATATGGTGTGAGTTAGTAAGGTTCTAAAAAGAACCTGGACTGAACATTCTCTGACAGTTTGCTCTGGCCGGCCGTCATCACGAGGCTGAAGGATTCCTATCAGTCTGGTGGCTATACTGTATGTGGAAGAGCTTTGTGCAGTGACGCATGACCCCTGTGTCTATAAAACAAGTATGCACGTACTTGCTCCATAAATGTGGGGACTACACAGATATGTACATGTTATGGGGACCAACTTGATCTCAACATAACAAAAACAAAATTGTCCCCTTCAGTTGGCAAAGGCCTACCCATGTGGGCTTGCAGTGTATTAACTCTGATGCCTTAATATCTAGAAGAAAGTGAATAAGCCTATGCATTCTCTCCGAATGGTAAAACAGATAAGTATGCAGAGGACACCTGAACTGGGTAATCCATGGTGGGCAAATCTTCTCAGGAAGACTCCCTTTTAGTTTTCATTACAACAGACAACTCACCAAACCGTAGGCAGAACTTCTTTCGGACTCATCTGTGATGTCGGCAACATATGCAAATATGATGGAGAAAGTGACAGCAAACATGCCAGACACTGACAACATGGCGAAGAACCACCTGCAAATACGACCAGGAACCCCGGAAGGTACACTGTCTTATTGCAACTTGTTTGGTACATGTAGGTTTTTCAACATAGGAATCCCTAAACAATCTTCAGTTCCATTCTTTCATTTCATTCATTCTCTTCCACTGCACTTCAGGTATTATTTTCTGTATTTCTTGTTGTAGTTTTCAGTACTGTTTCTGCTCTTTTAAGTAACCGTTCATTTACATTTTGCATGTTCCGTCTTCAATTTTATTTCATCTGTTCTACAGATTCTTTCCTTTTTTCTGATCAAATAATTACTGGTATTTGAAAATCGGACCCCAAATTTGCCCTGACCTGATGAGGTGTCCCAGTTTCTGAAGTTTTACACCCTTACATAGGTAACAAAAATTAGGTTTGCCCCAAATGTCCAGTGGTAGCCACATTTGAATGCAATCTCACTCTGTTCTTGTTTTCACTGCTTAACCCTGCTTTCCCTAGTTTGTCATAATTCCAGGGTGTAAATGGTCAAGCTCAGTGCTCTTCAACTGCCCAAGTTGCTGAAGCTGCACAGCACCCTCATTAGGGTATGCGTGGAGCCCCCAGAGTTTTCAACATACCAGGCACTGACTCTCATGAGGGGTATTGGCATGCAGGTGAAGAACACGGTGAGCAGGAGGAAGGATTTACGCCCCCACACGTCTGACAGGGCTCCTAGCAGGGGGGCACTCAAAAAGGACAAAAGACCCTGGAGATAACAATGAAAGAGAAAACAAAACAAATTGAAGTAGTGTTCAAAAGTTTTCAAGGATGCAGGCCACCAAATGTGGACGAGCATTCAGTCCTAAATATTTCCAAAAATAGGCAAGTCTTTTTTAGAGACAGAAGGATAAATATGTTAAATGAGCAAAGGTACTTGTGTGCCACTTGGTAGCGTTACAAACACTGCCTGAAATTGACAGAGCTGGAAGGTGAAGTAAAAATTAAAAACCAAAAAATAAATATATGTTTGTTGATTATCCAAGGTAAAAGGATGAAAAAACGGAGCTGGTTAGCATTACATTTATAGCAGTGATCACAGCATGTTTGGAGGGGTCTTCCCCACCTGTCCACTAATCGGCTATTCCATGCAAACGTCCTCCTACATTTCAAGTTTTGTTCCCACAAAGACATGAAAGACAATATTGGGCACCGTTGTGAAGGCATGATATTGGCATGGTCCTATCTTTATTATATTCCGGTACTTCATGTATGATTACATCATGTACTTTTTATTTCCAACTTTGGTCAGTTTCCATTCTTCACTTTGTCCCAAAAGGGGCTAGCACAGATGTTAGTCTGTTACACTGATAACACGCGTAGCTTTGCCTGATCCTTGCAAATGCCAAATAAAAAAAAATCTCTATGATGGAGGGACACTTCCAATGATGGAACAGCACTGGAGTTTACATGTGTGTCCTAACTACAACAATATACATGTACCACAATGCACGATAGCACAGGATATGAAACTGTGAAAATCCCTTTCACTATCAGTCTGTCATGCACAGAACTATCCTAAAACATATTGCGTCAGAGGAAAAATATTCATTTTTTTTTCTGAATACAAAAGCCTGCATCAGGTGAAAAAAAAATTATGCATGTTTCATATTACTTAATGCCAACCTTATTTCCCTGTTCCCACTCGTTAATCTTCAGCGGCATTAATTAAAAATTGTGAATATGCAGGTAGTCTTTGGAACAATTTGTAGTTGGAAAGTGCACGCCTACAAATATATAGCACTATTCAGCGGCTTGTTTGATTTGCAAGGTTGATTGAATTATTTGCACCTTTTTGGTAAATACACCTGTACATGAACATGTATGAGAAAGCAATTACACATGTACTAACCTTGACACCTTGGACTAGTCCATTCATCAGGAAGGTGTGTTCTTTGAATGTTTCATCAAGCACCTGCCAAGTATTGGAGGAAACATCTTTGAATTAATTTCATATTTTGCACATCCAGTCCAGCCCTCACATCCTTTTGCAGAGAACATTGATTGGACTGACCTCTGCCAAACTTTAGCATGATCACGACTGTCAAAGTTGATGTTCTTTTTTCTGGAGGGGACAAGCTCATCATGGTAACAAAAAAGTTAAGATTTTCACTAACAACGCTCCAATGATACAAATACTGATTTACATTTATGTGCAACATGCGTGATGCGTTACATGCATTACCAACACTTTAGCCAATTTGATAGAAACAACGCATGCACCGGTACACGTATAAGGCGTGGACATAAATCAAGATTTGTGAACAAACTCCATCAGAACACAGACAAGAGAAGGAGCAGCGAGGACACAGCAGGCCAGAAGCTGCCCTAATCCTCACACTGGCTGAATCTTCCATTCCGCTGCTGTCTGTCTGACCTGGGCAGGAAGTCACATCAAGACTCTGGTTGTATGAATTGTTTCCTGCGACTTGTTAAACTGCTTTGGGTTAGGCTCCCAACTCTGAAGGTCTTGCGCCCCGCTCATGTATGGCGTGATGTTATAAGCCTGTGACTCATCCTTCAGGCCACTTTGTAGGATGGCAGATTTACAGTAGCAGTAACAAATTTTTATGCGTATGTGTCTGCCTGTACATTGTACATACATGTGTATCCGTTTTGTACAAGTGCCATCAAGTAAACTATGTAGAGACACTGATTTGTTACTTGTCATGCTTGTATATTAGTGATTTAACAGCTTCTGACTTGTACAATTCTACAGGTCACAGGTTCAAATCTCACTCCTGGCAATTTCTACATTAAATCTTTATCATTTCACAAGTTTCCCAACAAGCTAATCCAGAGTCTGATTAAACTTTAAAAACAAGCTGAGAATTTTGCATTTCAAGGTTCAGAAGGTTTACATATTGTGAGAAATTCACATGCATCACAATGAACAGTATTAGTCTTGTCAACTACAAGGTTGGAACATTGCCTCTACAAAGGCTAGCACTAGTACAATTTTCTTTCCAGATCCTGTGCAATGCTGGTATCCCCTAATCCCCAATTTTAAGAGATCTCTGCAACTTGACACAATAGGCCAATCTTGGTGTACACATGAACGATGTCCACTAGGAAAGCCAGCAAGGATACTCACCGTAAGCATTGGGTTTGTGAGCAGCCCCCAGGCAAAGAACTCCAGGAAGATGACAATGAGAGCATGGTAGATGCTAGGCTCGCCAATCCCCTACAAAAGGGCCAGGGAAAAATGAAAAACATGTAACTATTGTCTCCATACAAAAGTGACCCTAAAATGCTGCATAGGTGCCAAGCGCCCCGCTGCCCAAGCAAAGACGAGAAATTATGGCGTGGAATTAAAGCGAAATTAAAATGTATTTTTAAATTCTGTACTGCACAGATAAGACACAGTGTGATATTAATCTGAAATCCACTGGTAACTTATGACAAGTGTAGTGGAAGACATGGAATAGGTTATCAGCCACTTATTGGACCCTTGCCCTTCGATCCCTTAACTTGTGCATGAATCAATCCCAACAACAGCTTAACATTCTTAAGCCACATTCACACTGGGCATTTTTTGGTTAAAACTTGAAAATTTGACAAAATTAAGTACAGTGCGGACACCAGGTAAACTGTCAAATTTGTCAAGTGTCAATCATTGGTTATGGTTTTTACATGCACATTCCTGAGCAGAGGTTTTACACAGCCGACTGGGTCAGGTAAGAATTAAATGTCCGCTTTACATTGCAGTAATGTCCCATGTGGATGGCCACTGTAATGTACATTTGTAAAACCTACATTTTGAATATTTGAATGGATCAGGGCGTACCCCCAGTTTCTGTTGTGTTGTTTACTGCGTGCATCCCCCACACACAGAGAATCAGATTTCTGGAGGGTGCCTTTGTGAGATTCTGAGAAGACATACATGTACCACTGCAGTTGTACATGTAAGTGACCAAGGGGCTTTCTCTAGGTTGCAAGTAATCTCCGTGCTGATGCAGGAAAGAATTTTTAGTCCAATGCAAACACCGTTTTACGTTAATGGCTGCATGATACATGCATTAAAAGTTGAAAGATGAATTAATAACATTAAATTTCTGTCCTATTTGGTCAATTTCTCAGCCGGTCCCAATTCTCCTATTCTGCTTCAACATGCTCATTTGTAAGCAAAGTGTGTATTTTGCCAGCATCCAGTTACATTTTTTTTAACACTGGCATAGAACCGATACAATACAAAATTTACCCTCCGGTGTTGTTGCCAAATGGTTACAGTGTACAGCTGAAGACTTAGCGACTCCTACAAGTACAATGCACAATGTTCTCCTTATCATCTGCAACTTGGGGGATGTTTTTTTTAGAAGTTGTCTTGGGTACGAATTGTCCGGGGTACCAGCTGTCATTAGCCTACTACTGACTACACTTTACATCACAATCATGACAATCAAACAAGTTAAACATCTGAACGCGAGTTCACAAGGCCTGATGTTTTACAGAAACAAGATCTAAATCTAGCTGATCACTTCATCACGTGATGTAGTCATTGCCCAACCCAAAGTTACTGAGTAGGCCCGCGAATGTACAATGTATGTACATGTAGCTTTGCCAGTGTCATCGTCTGACGTGTACTTATGCCAACCGTGACCTTCACCAAGAAAAAAGTGTTCACGTATTTCGTCCAAGAAAATGTACTCACTGTTGCACCATTATCCTTCATAACAAGCTTTCCCTTCGAAATCCGTATCTTCTTCCGTTTCTTGGTCATTGTTGTGAAACTACCTGTCGTTTGTTTCAGTGGAAAACTGTAAAAGAGTCACAGCTTTTACAGCCAGTTTGAGACGGATATTAGGCCTACTCATACTAACCGACATTGCACTGTAAATATACCGATATTATCACGCCATTCTATTGAAGTGGCCTACTTTAAGAGTAGAATACATGCGCTAAAAGGATGTTGCATTATAATTGCTTGAAACTAGTCTGCATTGCAGTCGCCGTTAACTCAGGAAGAGAAATCAGACAAACAGCACAGAATGTTGTCACACCTACTACTCCGACGATACGGGATTATTACTTAGAGAGGAGAGTCATTGTATAGAGTCTTGCTGCTGGCACTGTTAAAATGGTTTAAAGCGAATAAGTTATCCCTCAACATTCAGAAAATCACATGTGTGTTATTTAGTAACTAATCGGGATAACACCCACCAAACATCTGTATTGATCTGTATCTGTATCAATTTAGGAATTGACATCTTTAATGTACAAGACCAGGAGGTTCTAACTTCCATTTACTTGGTAAAGGAAATTTGTTGTTGAAACTAAGGTAAAAAAAAAGTCTCCTGTTTCTGGTCAGCGCAGCGCGAGCATTGCCTTAAAACTGCGCTTCGGCAAAAAAAAAAATTATTAGGTGTAAGGACGATGTTCAACAGCTGCCAAACTTGCTTGATCGACCGAAATCCTGCTACTGCGTAATTTTAACGTGTTTTGGATTGGGTACAATTGACTAATATGTACAGTAAAGGAGTCCCTCTAGGCCCCTATACATTTAGTCGGACACCCTTTTTCAGATGACACCATTTTCTGCATATTATATTTACATCTGAGAACCAGACAAACGAGGTGAGCTTCTGTCTTATGTACATCTCCAAGCTTTGAATGCTTTTAAAAAGCAATTAGAGAGGGGTCATTTATTTCAGTAGCAAGGCCATGTATTATATATAGGGTACAGACCACTAAAAAAGTTCCCACAGACAACAGTGATTAATATCCCATCTTCAAAAAATCAAGGTGTTCGAGACACATCGTCATCTTTCATTTTCCTTTCAATTTTCAGTGGCTTAACCCATGACGTTTGAACCCTCAAAACAGTCACGAGGCCCATCGCCATTTTAAAAACTGATGCTTACACTCCATTGCAAAATAGAGCAATTTGGATGGCCCCGTTTAGTCCGAGACTTTCAGAAATACAAGCTGACAGTCCTGCCCCTGGATTTCATCCACCTTTTTAACAAACCACCCAGTCCACGTACCACGAAATGCTCTAATATCTAGCATAGCAGAGAATTTGACAACTACAAATCCTGATTCGGCCGTGCAGGCAATTTTGGACCTATTTACTGGCCTGTAACCTTAGAGCGCATGTGCGTGTACATCATGTCTTGGAAAAAGCATAGACCTGGAGGAGAAAACAATGGAAAAAGCAAGGACCATCTACTCAAATAAATGAGGAAAGTCGCCGCACCACTTTTGGAGCCAGCCCCTGACCAGAAACCAGAACTTGGGCGGGGGGTCTAATGTGAGTTTTGAAGCACGTATTTTAAGATCTTTCAGAAATTATTAGACGCAGTTCTCAGGGTACTTGACCTTTAATTTGAATGTTTAAAAGCGACTCTGAAACAAAATTGAATGACTTCAATGTTTGATTACCGTCTTCCACGTTGTTCAATTTGGTGGAATTTGGTGGAATTCCTAAGTTTCTATAAGCGGTTGTTCTATTATTAGAAACCGAAGTATCTTTTAACTCAGTCCCACAAAAATGATAGCAAATCAAGCCCAAACAATCACTCGAATTCGCTGGTACAAACTGTCTTGATGTCTATGCTCCGTACCGAGTTGGCTGCAAGGTGCAAAAACGATTCGCTTTATCTGCGAACCCCACGATCTCAGATCAGTGAGCTTACAGAAACTTCTGGAATTGAAGTGCATTTTCTCTAAAGACTCTTACGGCATGGATTCGTTGCATTAAAATGTAAACAAAGACGTGTCCAAAAGTTGTGGCTATGACTCAGACAACATACCCCAACAGTGTTACTTAACACCTAATGGCCGAAGCCTAGCCACTTCTCATTGTGGCCAGTTTGGTGGAAGATAATGCGAGTTGTAGTGCGCCCTCTAGCGACAAGCTTATTCTCGCTCGATCCCTAA